GACCAGCTCGTCTGGCACCAACAACCATGCCACGTTCAAAGTCACTTAAATCAACTTTCTTCCTCATTCTGATGCTTGGTTTAAACTGCAGCAGATCATCTTGGTCATGTCTACATGCCATTGAGTTGCTGCCGTGTGGTTGGCTGATTCTACATTTGTGTTAATGAGCAGTTGGACAGGTGTACCTAATAAACTGAGTGTAGGTCTGAAACTCTTCATGGCATACTCACACTCACAAACACACTTTAGTACAAGATTATCAAATAAACTATTCAGATTAATTTGTTGTAACTTTCACTCAAACATTGGTTTGCAGTGGTGCAGCCACATCCTAAACCAAAGTATTTCTCTTGTTTCCTCTAAGCCTTAACACTACAGATTACGCTGATCTCAGGGTGATGCTCCATGCTCCCATCAGAACATCTCCTAATGTTGTGATCCACCAAACCATCAGCGACCTCTTCCTGGAAACCTTCAAAGCTCAGGTGGAGCTGAATCAACCGTAYACACTTCCCAGTGGACAGGTAGACTGCAGCGCTGCTCAGAACTCAACAGCTTCCTCACACCTGAAGTGTAATATGAGTCTATGTCCCTAAAGGAAGTGGAGCCCTGTATCGGCTGCATGCAAGCTCCTGCAGGCACCAAGCTGGTCCGACTCTGCCAGGCTGCAGGTAAGAACCAGCTGGGAATCCTTGRTTTGTTTTCCAGGTTACAACAATAAACTTCATTCAGTTTTAAAATCCASTGTGAATTTATTGTGCATTTTGTCAAATGATCATAGAGTTAGCATCCACAGAAACATCAGGATCATGGCTAAAGTTCATAAGAATCTTTCTACATCCAAACAACAAGCAGTTAAATCAGAAACTAAACAWATAGTACAAAACGGTGTTAATGCAAATCTGTAAATATGTTTTCATGATTTTTGACTTTTACAGGAATGTACTGTAAGTCCAAAGAAGTACCAAATTCTGTTTTTAAGCAGAGGTCTTCTAATGATGGGGTTGTAGAGGTACTGCGGGGAGGGGAGTGGGGTATAATACCATTTTTTCCTTTTCAAAGTTGTGTCTTAAAACACACATTACCATGAATSAAACATGTAGCAAATGAATAAATTAACAGGGTTCCTGCAGATCCTTAAAAAGTCTTAAAAGGCATTKGATTTATCAATCCAAAAATAAGGCTTTAATTAGCCTTAAAATGTCTTAAAGCAATCTTTCAGGAGTCTTAAAAATGTTAACACGTTGTACATAGGATGATTCTAATTCATTTCAAATGTTAAAATAATTGGTAAAAATTATGTTTTTAAATATTCACATGCAGACATTCATTCCCCTTTGAAATCACTTCATGCTATTTCACATGCACATTGAGAAATGGCATGTTGAGWTGTTGTTGAGATGCATTCACATAACAACTGTTCATCTGAGCAATGTGAAATTCATTTCTTAATATGTTAATGCTGTCATTCCAAAAATACATTAACTTTTCTTACAAAAAATTGATGTCACAGGCAGTTWAGGGTTTCATCTACAGCAAATTGGGGTTAAGACCCCACTGTGGGKCCTAAAACTCCAAATTTTGGGTCGTCAGAGGATTTTCTAGAAATTAAGTGAAGTCTAAAACTGACTGCTAAGAATGTTTCTGCTATATTTAGATATGGATAAAAACACTTGGTCTATTAGCAATATTTTAATACTTCAATCTAACATACTTTAGTTTTTTGGGTTTCTGCCACAGGTTTTTTTTTTTGTCATTTGTGTTTATTGTGAAATTGGTCTTAAATTTAACTTCACTTAAAGTCTTAAAGGGTCTTAAACTGAACTTGCCTTAAACTGTAGGAACCCTGATTAAATAAGTGAGGCAGAAAATGACGTATCTCAGTCAGAAATGCACACATTGATTGAGAACAGCAGCTGAGTTCTGCTTCACTCACAGCCTGAACCTCCAACAATCCTGTACACAACCTGTAGGTCTGAACTGGCTTTTATTGCATCACTCCAGCTCCTAATGATACCAGTCAACTAGTGTCAGAATACACTTTGTATATGTGACCCATCACATTGATCTGAGGATGAGTCTTAGATGTTCTGTGGAGAAACAGGCAAATAATGTTTTGATTAAAACCTCTGCAATAGTTGAATTTWGTTCAAATATAATGARTGAATGCCTTATCAATGCATCATTTCAATGAATTGTACGAAATATCATCTTAAAGAGTTTTTGAATCACTTTTTTAAGCAGCAGAAACAATGAAAAGATTTTGAGCAAAAACACCTTAAATTTTTGATAATATCCACAAAYACAAGGTTTCCGCTTTACAATGACATCAAAAATTCCTCATTAGAACAACCTAAAAATAGGATTCAGATCAAATATTAATGTATTATTGTGATTACCAAGACAAAGTAGAAGTTCTGCCCCAAGTGGAGGAGTTTAAGTATCTCRGGGTCTTGTTCATGAATGAGGGAAGAATGGAGCAGGAGATCGACAGGYGGATTRGTGCTGCATCTGCAGTGATGCGGGCGTTGTACCGGTCTGTCGTGGTGAAGTGAGAGCTGAGYCAGAAGGTGAAGTTCTCGATTTACCGGTCGGTCTACATTCCTACTCTCATCTATGGTCACGAACTTTGGGTAGTGACTGAAAGAAGGAGCTCTCAGATACAAGCAGCTGAAATGAGTTTCCTCTGCAGGGTGTCTGGACTCTCCCTTAGAGATATGGTGAGAAGCTCAGTCATCCTGGAGAGACTCAGAGTAGAGCTGCTGCTCCTCCACGTCGAGAGGAACCAGTTGAGGTGGTTCATCTGGTTAGGATGCCTCCTGGACGCCTCCATGGTGAGGTGTTCCAGGCACGTCTCACTGGGAGGAGACCCAGAGGAAGACCCAGGACACACTGGGGGGACTATGGCTCTCAGCTGGCCTGGGAACACCTTGGGATTCCCCCAGAGGAGCTGGTCCAAGTGGCTGAGGAGAGGGAAGTCTGGATCTCTTTGCTTAGGCTGCTGCCCCCGAGACCTGACCCCTGATAAGATGGGAAAAAAAAAAACAGAACAAGACAAAGTAAAGCATAWCTCTGGAACCGCTCCTTATTTTAGGAAGATGAAGGAATCAAAATGCTGCTTAAAACAGGAATTTGAAAATGTGCTGAGGTGATTTTGAACTTAATTTGACTTAATCCTTAGTTGGATGTGATGAATCACATATATGAGGGTCTTTGCTCCATTTCTCCACCAGTGTAGGGGTCCCAGACTGAAAAAGACCCCTGTTATAAAGTGTTCTGAACATGTTTTTACTTGATTTTGAGTAAATCTGCTCCAGTTGGTTAACCTGCTGTAATCCTTTCTCACTGTTTCAAATGAAGAGAGTAAAAAATAAATGTGTGTGAAATTAAAATAAACTGTATTTTCAGGCAGGTTATAAAAAATAAGTTTTACAAATTAATATCCTCAYATTTCTTCACATTTATTGATGGAAMCARCATGATCARTTCTGTGCAGAATGACAAATTCTGACATTTTTTTTTTTACTAAAACCTTCTTAACTTTGCTGTAGTTTATTTAATTGTGGGCGGCTGTGGCAGAGTGGTTAGGAGCCGGTAGGTCGCCGGTTCACTCCCCTRTTCCAGCTGTCTCAGTTGTTGTGTCCTTGGACAAGATGCTTCAMCCCTAATGTCTCTGATGTGTGTCCCATCAGTGTAYRAAYGTGACTGGAACTGATTATTCTCCACAGCTGACTGTACATGTTAGTTTTGTAGAGACCTAGCGGAGTGCTGTGTGAATGGGTAAATGAGGACACAGACTGTAGTGTGAAGAGTTTTGATGATGCCTTTATTGTCATTGTACAGAGCACAATGAAATTACGTTTAAGAACACCCATTCAAGAGACACACATGACCAAAACATGGGGGAACAGGTGTACAGGTCATGCAGCAACCAGCAGGGGTCACGCTACCTTTAAAAAGAAAAACTAAATACCACAGAATATAGAGGAGGAAAAAAACAAAACATCCTTTTATATCAACGAAATATGATRCACTATAGTGCTTATAAAAACCCCTCTGCAGAGCAAGAATTTTTTTAGCCAGAGGAGTTCAGAGGGTGTGTATCGGAAGCCATGAATGTTGTGCACTTGTGTGAATATCTGAAGAATGAGTCCGAAGAATCCAGTCCCCAAAAGTTAAACACCATAATTCAGCCATAGTTTAGAATATTGGTGTTGATTGTTCATTCTGTGCAGCTTCAGGTTGACCTTCAGGGGATCAGATTACAGACAGGAGTGAGAGGCCACAAGTCGACGTAAACACCCAGGAGATTGCAGATCCACAGCTCTTCAAGAGCTGTGGATCTGCAATCACTGATCTCATTTAGAGATGAGGACATCAGAGTACTGCTTGGGTTGAAGCTCAGTCCACAGGGGAGCWAGCTACTGTAGCTTCACTCTGAACAGAGCCTGCTGTTCCAGCAGGTTCCAGCTCATGGCAGCCTTGAGCCTCACTGGTTCCTGAACATCTCAACTGATGTCCTTTCATCTGASGGGGACAGAAAAGTATTGGTCCATCAAACGAGTTCTTTAAAACAAATGGTTTTCATTCWATCAGACAGAGACTACCAACTTCAGTCAGTCTTGTCAAATTSTTAAAAGACCTTCTAGAAGCTTCARCACCACTTATAATGGTTTAGGTAGATGTATGTGTGAATGTGCATGTATAATTTTGACCATCTTCAGATTAAAGAAAATTCATAATAAATCCAAACTTGTTTTGAAAAAATGATTGAAGTTGAATGTTATRGAAACGTAGAAGTAAACWGTTAATATAAATCACTAAATAAATTAGATACCTCATAGCAGCATGAGCCCTGTGCATACGCAAAGCAGCAATGCACCAAAAGCCCCCTCCTCATGTATGGGGTCTATTGTAAAACCATTGGCTGGCGCAGTGTAGGTCGGACTCATCTACATTCCTGCCAAGTTGACGGTTGACCAAAAATCACTGAAAAAAATTAATACAGTACRAAAACAATAAGACCCCCACTTTGTGTGCAGGGGTCTTATTAAAATGATGAGTTTATGTAAACTTCTAACCACAGCTAGTAGTCCTATCATTACGATGAAAGGACACGTTTTTATGTTCTTACTACATGGAAGAAAAGACTTGCCAGCAGTCAGATTGAAGGTTGTTGCTTGTTGCTGGTCAGGTTAGAGTAAGTCTGCTGTGTTTTTAAAAACCCGGAGACACAAACCTGCATGAATGGACTAACTGACTCACCTGTGTTTGTCTTACAGGAGTGGACAATGCATCAGAGTGCCAGATGTGTTTCTGCAGACCAATGTGGTGTTTGATGTGTTTGGGACGATGGTTTGCAAGTCGCCAAGACCAGCAAAGACCAGAGACCTGGTTGTCTACCAGAGTTCCCTGTCCCACCTGTAGAGCCAAATTTTGTATCCTAGACATCTGTGTTGTTCAGTGAMAAATATATATAAATAAACCCAGAAGGACGTTTAGAGCTTGAGATAAGCYGCTGGTGTGTTTTCTAACATATTGAGCAATAAACCCATGAAAGAGTGGACATTCTGCTGCTTCCGCCTGTGGTTCATCTACAAGACACTTCTGTTCACTTTGGTTACACTGACTAACAGGATGCTTTATGTTTTTATTGCTGCTGYCAATCAATCATGGTCTATACAGTGTGGTGTGAACGTTTAGGCAGCCTTGTTAATTTTCCTGATTTACCTTTATAAATCATTGATTGTTTGGATAAAAAAATCTGTTAAATATATCATATAGGGGACAAACAGTGATATTTGAGAAGTGAAATGAAGTTGATATGATTTACAGAAAATGTGCAATAATTGGTTAAACAAAATTAGGCAGGTGCATAAATTTGGGCACTGTTGTCATTTTATTAATTTCAGTTGGAATGAATGACCTATGGAAGCGCACCGTCCTGCAGCGAGGATGTTTAAGTCTCTGACTGAAGGAGCTGCTCAGCCCCCCCACGGTTTCATGCAGATGGTGGTGGGGGTTGTCCATGATGGCTGTCAGCTTTGCCAACATCCCTCCTCTCACCCATCACAACCACAGGCTCCAGAGGACATCCCAGCACAGAGCTTGACCTCTGTACCAGTTTGTCCATCCAGTTCCTGTCCCTTTCAGTACATCCAGCCCCCCAGCAGACCACTCCATAGAAAAGGGCAGGTGCCACCATCGTGTCATAGAATGCCTTTAAAAGAGTCCTGCAGACACCGAAGGACCTCAGTCTCCTCAGTAGGTGGAGTCGACTCTGGTCCTTATACAGGACGTCTGTGTTTGTAGTCCAGTCCATCTTGTTGTTGAGGTGAACACCCAGGAACTTGTAAGAGTCCACTGTCTCAATGACTCTGCAAAAACTGTCCACCTAATCAAGTTTTAAAATCTTATATCCAGCCAAAAAAATATTTTTTTGATCTTGTTTTGAGACTGATTTACTAAACAAGAACTGATGGTGTCAGAATAATCATCTTGTTTTCAGAATGTGTAAGATTATTTGTCTTGTTAACCTGAAAATTTGCTATAACTGCTCCTCAGTTTAACTTGTTTGTTGCGCTAACRCCGAGCTAATACATATAAGGCAATATAGCGTCAGTGCTAGCACAAAGGCTAACAGGCTAAGCTGAGGTTCTTCTTCCATGAAGCAGCTCTGTTGTCCTCCATCCATATTTTCAGTTCCAGGCTGAGTCATTTCTACCTTCTCCTCTCTGTCAACGCTCTCTGGTTTCATTTAAAAGAGTCGATCATCAGATATTGTCCAAGATTAACCTTCAGGGTGGATATAGCTCGCTAGCAGCCTCGCACCGAGGACCTATCCACGTCATTATTTACCCAGAATGCTTTGCATGTAAATAAAATGGCTCTGTCCGTGTTAAAATATATTTTTAAAAATTTACAAAACTAAACAGCCTACAGTATTTTTATAGTCTTTATTTTACAGTTAAAATATATGTTTATCAAATAAAGTTTAATGTTACAACTAATTGTGGATCCCTTTAAGAGAGAAAACATTCTATATTTTCCTTTTTAATCATTCTTTAAACCATTCTCGATGATTGAGCRATCATCAGTTTGTGAAACTCAGCTCAAGCCTTTCTGGCGTCATCTAGCACGCCACATGAAAAGTTTTTTAAAACCCCGTCTTCATCACGCTGAGGCCCAGTTTGAACTTCAGCAAGTCTTCTTCACCACGTCTACAGGCCTGAAGGCAGTGAGCTGCTCTGTGATTGGCTGATCAGCTGATCATGTTACAAAGTGATTCAACAAGTGTCCTTAAAGTGGCCATAATTAACTCATTTACACCATTTTAGTCAAAAACTGATTCTTAGAATTCTGCACCACACCACACCCCCCCCCCAAAAAAAAACCCTGCAACTATGTGAATCAAAGTAAGAGCAGTTCTTACTTTCAACACATCCATCGTTTTTTAACTCACCCAGTGTGAGGATTGTGTCTTGTATGTCTCCCTCTGGTGTTTCCTCTGTGTTTTACACTTTCATCTCAGCCCTCAGTTTTTCAGTCCCTCTCTAGTTAATCTACTCACCTGTCAGCAGTTTTGTAATCAGTTCTCCTCAACTGTTGCCCATCCTCACTCCTCCTCTGTTTGCATAAATACTGGTCTTAGCTCCACATTACTTCACTGGTCCATTGTATGGCTTTGCCCTCTGTTTGGATTTTTTCTCCTGTGCTGCTGCGTTCCTTATGTTTTGCTGCCATGACAGCTTTTTGTTTTGTTTAAATAAATATTTACTTATTTAATCAAGTCTGCATGCCTGCATCTTGGATCCCACCTCAACCTTTAAACCTAACRGAATGGACCAGTCAAGAAAGGATCCAGCAGGCAGCAGTTTTTCTGGGGGATTTTCACCTGAAGAAGCCGACCACATTCGRAGGATTACCCAAGCTTATATCAGCGCTAAAGATACCTCCGTAGACCAGTGGGACAGGTTTGTGGCAGTAGATGACTTTGTGAAATTATTTACTCTTCACCAGCAACTGGCCCACCAGACGGGTACGAGAGATTTCTGCTCGAGGCACTGAAATACCAGAGGGTTCTCCGTGCCGTCCTCCTTCCTCCGTCCTGCTGGCAGTTTACCAAGACCTGCTGTGCTGAACCTTTGGGCCCTTCCTGTGCTCCAATATGGGTCAACGCCTCTGCCTCCTGTGTGAGGGATCTTGGGGAGGGAAAGGTGRTCCTTGGCCCAGCTCCTGTCGGGCTGTCCACGTCTGCTGCTGTCTCGGCTCTGGTGGCTGTGTCATCTCCAGAGTATCCTGACTCTAATCCTCCTCCAACCCATTGTCACCGCCGCCCCCGCCGGAGGAGAAGGGCCTCATCTCCAGAGATAGTCCCAATTGCTCTTGCCTCCCTGCTCCTCTGAGCTGACAGGAACCAGCATCTCCCCGAGAGCCGACCCCCCAACCTTCTTCTCTGGATGGGTCAGTGTTGACAGTCTTAGCGGAGGAGAAGTGGTTCATGAGTTTGCGGAGGATGAGCCCGATCCTGCTCCAGAGTTCTCCGAACCCGATCCAGAGAGTGAACCAGAATACGACCCGGACTGTGATCATGAGAGTGATCCATTCTGCCCCGAGTTTGCTGGTTACTTCCCTGCTGAACCGRTGGATCCCWGCTTCACTGAGCCGATGGTGTCTCGCTCTTCTATAGTGCCGCTGCCGAGGGGGGTCCMTGAGACCTCCAACCTCCTGTGTTCCTGAGAGGGTCGACRCCTCCTCCTCCTGTGTGGGTGCCCTTAGGGGGAGGGAAGTGGTGGTCRCCACCTCTGCTGCACTTYCGRCGGTGGTCACCATATTYGCTGCAGCCTTGGTGGAGGTCCTTCTGCTTACTGCAGCTAAGCCCCCCTCCTCTGCTGCAGCTGGGCCTTCTGAGCCCTCATTGCCTGCTGCAGCCCCCGAGGTGGTCCATGACACTGCTGCTGCTCCTGCCGAGCCCTCTACGCCGCCTGCTGCAGCCTGTTCTCCATTGTTGCCTGCTGCAGCCTGGTCTCCATGGTTACCTGCTGCATCCCCATCATCTTCTGGTCCTGCTCCTACATCAAAGTCTTCTGTGTTCATGCCAGCTTCCAGTTTTGAGTCTCCAGAGCCGGTCCCTCCAGACATGGTCCATCCAGAGCCGGTCCATCCAGGGTCTCCTCTGCCAGCTCCTTCGGGGTCTTCTGAGCTCAGTCTCCTCAGCGACTGGGCTTTTGACCGTCCACCAGAGCTCCATCCTCATCGTGGCTGGGTCCACGGCCGTTCTCCAGCGCTCCGCCTCCGCCGGTTCCACGGTTGCCCTCCAGAGCTCCGTCTCCRCTGCRGCTGGGCCCACRGTCACCCTCCAGAGTTCCTGCTTCACCTGTGTTGGTTTCCTGGGTGCCCACCTGAACTTTTTTGCCTCCTTCAGGTGTGCCTAGGGCCATCCTAAAGTTTTGTTTTTTCCCAGGACTTCCCTGTCAGTTTTTGGTTTTTCTTTTACTCCCTCTGTCTTGTCTGTGTTAAGTCTCATGTTCCCTCGTTGTCTTTTGTTTCTGCCCCCCCCCCCATCCTGTCTTTGTTGTACCCCTGCCTCTCTCCCATGCTGGTGTTTTCTGGTTATCGTCTGGAGACGATCTTTGAGAGGGGGGTACTCTGAGGATTGTGTCTTGTATGTCTCCCTCTGGTGTTTTACACTTTCAGCCCTCAGTTCTCTCATCTCAGCCTCTCTAGTTAATCTACTCACCTGTCAGCAGTTTTGTAATCAGTCCTCCTCAGCTRTTTGCATAAATACTTACTTCACTGGTCCATTGTATGGCTTTGCCCTCTGTTTGTATTTTTCCCTGTGCCTCTGCGTTCCTTATGTTTTGCTGCTTTTTGTTTTGTTTAAATAAATATTTTCTTATTTAATCAAGCCTGCCTGCCTGCATCTTGGATTCCACCTCAACCTTTAAACCTAACACTGAGGAGATCACTGTATCACATGCTGGCCTGGGTGAAGTTCTCTCTATGCACCTGTGGGTTTTCTCCAGGTACTCTGATTCCCTCCCACACACCAAAAACATGGAGATAAAGTGGGAGTGGTTATTTATCTCTGTGTCCCTGTGATGRACTTGTGACTGGTCCAGGGTGTCCCCCATTGAATACAAACTAATCTTCACTCCTTCCTGCAGGTATTGTAATCCTCCTATTCTTGTTCCCTCCAAAATGGAACRTCTTTCTTCTGCTTCCTGTGAGTTTTTGTTTCTTTCTGACTCAAACCCTGAGGGTCGGTCCGTGGCAGAGGCAGTACAGGCAAATGCTAAAAGTGCTGTCCATCAAGGGGCGCCACAAATGGAGGATKAAAAGTATCACATGAGGCAGTCAGGACTACTGGTGCTCAGTGTGAAATCAGAAAACAAAATAAAGATGATTGAAGTTTCAGTTCTGATCTCAGATAAAGTTCAGGTTAAAGTCTGGTCTTCATAAAATACTGATTTTATGTTTTATTGATCTTGAGATTTTAGTAAAATGCTCTTGAAATGTCTGAAAAATGCAGTTTTGAGTAGATCTTTTATAAAGTTTTCATGGGTAGTAAACCCCTGAACCCCCCTATAACTGCTTCAGTCCACAACTGCTGGTGTCAGAAGATGTTGACTGGTAGGAGGTAAATGTCTGGTTTTCTGTTTCAAATGATTTATATTGTTTTATTTGAACAACCTAGTTTCTGCAGAGAAAAAAATAACATCAAAGACAAAACTTTTTATTTTGTGTTTGTAAATAATAAACACCCTTTTCGCCGTGTTTCTGACTATCTTTGCCACGACACAATGAAATTTAATAAACTGCACAAGGGGTGCCACCTGAAACTTTGCCCAAGGTGCCAAAATGATTAGGGCTGGCCCTGCTCCTGATGTGAAGAATGAAATTATTATTGTCCCTCTCCTGGCTCTCTAAACACACACACACACACACACACTGCTCATGAAGACACAAGTCTGTGCTGACTGTTGTTCCTCATGCATGTCCTGTTTTCTCAGAGTTTGAAGCATCATATGGGGTCAGGCGGTCTGGGAACATTTAAAGCTCCACCCCAGATGAGGCTGCTCTCCTCCCTCTGACTCCACATCTCCTCCAGTGTGGAGCTGCTGAGCAGGGGACATGTCGGAGCTGAGCTGTCCTCCACAGACCGAGGGACGGGACGGATGATGCGCATTGCGCTGAGGGAAACAAGGAGCTGTGAGCAGAAGAGATGGGCGCCGCTCCTGGACCTCCAGCCCCGCAGCGGCTCCTGCCCGGACTGGCGCTGATCCTGCGGCTGTGCGCAGCCTTCAACCTGGACGCGGACACGCGYGTGGTTTTCACGGGACCGCGCGGGAGTTATTTCGGTTACTCGGTGGAGTTCTTCGGGAAGTCCAACAGGTAAAGCGTCGCCTCTGTTGCCCTGGTTCATGCTGACAACATTTGGGATTTGTTTGGTGAACGATAAAGTTTGTGTGAGTGCCTGTTGTTGGGTCTGTTAGCAAAATATCTRCTGAACCACTGGATGGTTTGTAATGAAACTTTCACAAAGTAGTAAACATTAAGCATCTGGTTCAAGATGGCCGTCTCAGCCAATCATGAGCCAAATACCAAAAGTCATTCTTACAGACACCAAGCTGCAGTAGCTGAGAGTGATTCACAACACTAAATCTGAGCGTGACCTCTCACAACATAACTCAGTAATTTCATTGTTTGACCAAAATTACTTTATCAATATAACAAATCTCAGTTTAACATCTTTAAACCTTTAATTATAGAATATTTATGCAGATGTCTGAAATAATGCACACTCTCATTTGCACTTTGATCCCCCCCCCCACACACACAC